TTGCACTCATGGAAGATTTCAATGGTAGATGACCTATTGTGGTTAATCCAGCCTCTGCTGTGTCAGTCACTCTGTCCAGCAGCCATCTTTTTTTCCACTTGAAAGCACAACAAGGCAGCAAGGATTTGCTCCAGAGACCAGTGCAAGAACGCTGGCAGCCCCCTTTGCTGCTTGACTAATACAGTCCAGCTACGGAAGAGAGACAAGGTGCCAAAGACCAATTCACTTACGGGACTCAACAGCAGAAAAGCCTTTGGTTTATGGAAAAGGGGCATGAATTAATAATCACCTTATTGGCTTGCAGTTTTATTTTTTCTTTTCTCCTGCTCTGTGTGCCTTGCCATCCTTTGCATTCGACAGAAGATGTTTACTGCAGTTGAACGCTCTCTGTCTAGCGAAGGTACAAAAAAAATAAAGGCATTAAAAAAGAATGTCTGATAAACATTCAGGTTTAATGCACATTGGCTTTTATGGCGACTGTACAGGATTTGCAAGACTGAGTTTTAATTGATGAATGTCTTGTAGCTTTATGTACGCTCCTAATAAGTATTACTCCTAATCAGCAATTCATTGGTGAAATTTGAGAAAAATTTAACAATCCTTCATCTTCTTTCTTTAAGCATTTTTGTTAGCCTTTCTTCCTTTTAAATAAACTTATCTTTGAATCCACATGCCACCTTTTCTGATTGTATTTAAGTTTAAAAATGGGTCCTCACATCAGACACTGTAGATAAAAGTGTCCAAGTAAATAAAATGTTCTTCATAACCAGAAAGTATGACTACTTGTCAGCAGTTGATATTTGACGCATTTTATTCCTGTTGTAATCACTGCCCCTGTGGTAATCCTCTGCACAGTTTTAGTCATTGTTTTTGAGCCAACTTTGTGTCATTTTCAGACATAAATGAGGGAATAAACCTAAACTGAAATTGTTTTGATTTGATTTCAGCTCTGGGTTTTACAGTGTTTCAGAAATTCCTTTTCATTGCCAATGACAAGAAAAAAAAAAAAACAAAAAACTATGGAAACAGTAGTTATACGTTAGTCATGGGCTGCTGATGATAGTGTTGCTCTGTTCCTTACAGAAGCAATGGATCAGATCTTTGAAGTCCTAATTAGCCATGACAGAGAGACTGCACCAGAGAAAGGCCTGTGCAGCTCCTCACCTCACACGCCTTTCCTCTCAGCTACACTTAAGCATGAAGCACCTCATCCAGAAAACACGGGTTTTAGCAGCTTTCAGTACAAAAACAGCCACTTGTTGCACCTCTGGTGCTAATTGAGCAGCTCTGGAAGCATAATTGTTATGCTCTTTCTCTCAATCATGAGGCTGACAGGAGGTTTGATGCTCTGTACTTGTAGCTGTACATTTATGTATTTACCCTCCTGAAGTTACCAACTCAACCCTCACTAAAAATCGTAAATACACACATTAATCATTTATCAGTTTCTATATTTGCTTCTGTTTTAATCCTTCTTATGTTGCAAGGAGTGAAAGCATCCTCCCTTACTTTGTGGGTGTTGATGTTAATTATAGTCAAGGAGCTGCTTGTTGAAATAATGAGCTGCTGAAGGAGAGAGGAAAAGGCTCTGTGCAGATTGCGTACTCAAAAACACATTTTTTTTTTTAAAGTATGATCTTCAGCCCCATATTAAAAAAAACAAAAAAACATTTCACCTCAACTGGAATCTGGATCCCAAACCTAGAATGACTAAAGTTCTCTAAAACAGGACCAGAGTTGACTATTTTCTTGATCTAACAAGAGGACTTTAGGCAGAAGACAGAGTGGACTGGAGCAGAGTTGGAGGATGAATTGGTGAGCACAGTGCCATGACTGAAAGGTTAATGTCAACGAATGGGAGGTTCTTTTTGTTTAACATTTCCTTTGTTTATTGGTGGATGTGTTTAATAGGATTGAGTGTGACTGCACCCTAATAGGGTCTCCATGATTGATCTCAGTGTCTCTGGGAGATCTTACAGACTCCTCTGTCCTAAGCCAGGTCTCCCACTGGGTAATCACCTCAACTGCCCTCATCCTGATTGGAGCTGACATTTTAATGTCTGGAGTAGCAGTGTGGTCAGCCCTGTTTAACCTGACCCCTCCACCCCCCCTGCCCCCCAATTGCCATACCACCCCTCCCTTACCGGTGGCCTCTGTTCTCAATTTGCCCCTTAAGAACTGTACAAATCAGGCCAAATTTAACTCTTTATAGGGCTGTTAGGGGTTTGTGAGACAACTCCTTAAGTTTCACAATAGACACTTTCCACTGGAGCTCCTGCTGCAGTTTCCCTTCACAGATTCTCTGTGGTGTTAGCTACACATGCTTAGCTGTTCCACTAAAGTTACACCTCTACAGTGTCAACTGTTGGTTGTTCTTTTCTGTTGTTTTTTTTTTTTTTTTAAGTGGAGTACGTTTAAAGCCTTGCTTTGCAGAGGAAGAATAATAAAAAAAGAAAAACACATTATTTTGGTTCTTTCAGCGTTGTTTGCATTTAAATGGGTCTGCAATCTGATTTGATGTGTGAGCCAGTGAAACACTTGAAATCTCTTTAGAGAATGGAAAAGACTGACACACACTGACAATCACTGTGGTCTTTCTATTTCCTTGCAAAAAGTTGATGAATATGCTTGGATATGACTAATTTAGAGCCTACTGTGTGTTTTGTTTGAGTCTTAAACATACATTAAAAAGTTTTAGCATGTTTGTATAAAACTTCTATGTCTTTGATTATTAAAGATTTGCTTTATGACACCTTTTACATAAATTTTATGAAACAAAACCCCAACTGTTGGTAAAGTCTCACATGATCTGAATGAGAGACTGTCATCAACAGATTTTGATGATGTTTGATTTCACTTTAGACCAATCAAAACAGGTGTTTTGAGCACAAATGTCGGGTTTCTGAAAAGTGTGTGCATATTTATGCACTGAGTATTTGGTTGGGCCTCCTCTTGCATAAATCTCCACATCAGTATGCCATGGCGTAGAGGTGATCATACTGTGGCACTGCGTTGGTGCAATAGAAACCCAGATTCCTTTCATAGCTGCCTTCAGGTCATCTGCCTTATTGGGTCTGGTGTCTCTCATCGTTCTCTTAACAACAGATCATAGATCTTCTATGGAGTTCAGGTCAGGAGAGTTTGCTGGTCAATCAAGAATAGGAGTGGTCACTGAACCAGCTTCTAGTGCCTGTGGCAGTGTGGGCAGGCGCCAAGTCTTGCTGGACAATAAAATCAGCATCTTCACATAGCTTGTAATCAGAGGTGAGCATGAGTGCTCCAGAATTTCCTGGTAGACGGCTACATTGACTGTAGACTTCAGAAAGCATAATGGAGCAACACCAGATGGTGTGGCACCAAAAACCATCAATGTCTGTGGAAACTTCATACTGGACTTCAAGCAACAGGGTTTCTGTGCCTCTCGACTCTTCCTTCAGACCCTGCAACCTTAATTTCCAAATGAAATGCAGAATTTACTTTAATTTAGAAAAAGGACAATGGACCATTTCGTAACAGTCCAGTTCCTTTGCTCATGTGAGATCCCTCTGATGTCGTCACTGGTTTTGTAGCGGCTTGACACAGGGAATGTGACACCTGTAGCCATGTCTAGTGTATGTTGGTGTGTGGTGGCTATTCTGGAATGGATTTCTCTTGACAATCCTCTTAAGGCTGCAGTTCTTCCTGCTGCTGGTGCACCTTTTCTCACCACACTTCTTTTTCCTACTCAATTTACTGTTAATATTCTACAGACCAGCTTCTTCAGCAATGACCTTTTGTGACTTAACCTCCCTGTGAAGGGTGTCGATGACTGTCTCCTGGACGTTTGTCAAGTCAGCTTTCTTCTCAATGATTGTGTAGCCTACTGACCCAGAGTGAGAGACTGTTTAATGGCTCAGGGAACCTTTGCAGGTGTTTTGACTTAATAAGCTGATTAAAATATGACACCTTCAATTCCAATTAATGACCTTTTTCACAGTATTCTAGTTTTCTGAAAAAACTGAATTTTGGGCTTTCACTATCTGTAAGCCATAATTGTCAACGTTACAAGAGATAGATGATGAGTTTCACTTTTTGGCGTGGAATATTTTTACTTTATTGCTACATCTTGTTTATTTGAGATGTACTAGTACAAACACAAAACATTTGTTTCGTTCATTTATTTTTTTTTAGTTCATAACCTTTAGTTATACACTGGAGTTCTAGTAAAACATGATTTTGGATTATCTAGAGATGCCTTTTCAAGCCGCCACACACTTTAAGATGCGATTTGATTCAGATGTTATGGAATAAATATTGTGAATAAATGTATTAGAAACATTACAAACAAAAAGGACTGTCCTAAGTATATTAATTAATTAATATTAATGTTCCCAGTATTCTTAGTATGTCTGTATGTAATGCTAAGAAGAGGTACAAGTTTTTAGAGATTTTTCAAGACTCCTTAAACAGCGAGTACCCCTGAGAAATGAAATTGTACCACTTCACGTCTTGCTGTAAAATGTTCTAGTGAGGGACAATGTAAGAGATAAAAGCAGCAATTATTGTGCAGCAATTTTCCATATGACAAAATATCAAACAAATGTACACAGAGGCAAATCACATCTTGGTGCATAGATGTTGATGGAGATCTCTGCCCCTCTGCAAAACATGAGATCATCGAAACCAAAGTAAGAATCTCATATGATGTGACATTTTGTAATGACGTGAAACTTAAATCTTCTGCTATGGTGTTGTTTTGATATCACAACTCGAGACTCAAATGGCCCATCAGTTGGCATCGGTAGTGTTTTCCATAACTGTTTGTTATTGACAATAATTTTCCTGCCCAATTCCCATTAAATGCACTTAAATCACATCTGAGAAAGACATCCCAAGGCTCTTTATTCTCACTGTTATTGATCTGGTACCAGGCTGCCAGGTTCTCAAATTGTCCTAACATATCTGTTGTATCCCTCTTAGTCCTTTGGCTTATGTGTCTGTTTCTATTTGAATATTTTCAGGTGCGTCTGGCCACTTGGAACGGCACCAGTCGGATTCTCCTCTTCCCTCCAAAAGGCCCTCTTCCCGCTCGGAGGTGTCTGACAGCCCGCTTTCCTTGAAGCGTCCCAGGACAGCTGAAAAGGGAACTACGGAGCAGGTCAGCATTAAAAAAAACAAAAACAAAACAGATTTTTTATTTTTATTTTTTTTAAATATATTGATATCCTATGATTTTTTTAAAAAGTCTACTTTCCTTTGAATTAAGGGCATCTAGCTAAAGGTTATCTCGTCATTAATTACCGAGACATCATTAAAAGTCTCAAGCTTGTGAATCAGTTCAATATAAACCTCTGCAAGTAATTCTCAGTGCTGAGCTTTTTTATGTTATGCAGATTTTCTTCTTTTAGATCTCCTCAAAATTAATTTAGCAAATCTGCAAGGCCAGCACTGCTAATTGTGCACAAGCTGGAAAATCAATATAGTATTTGACAGATGAGACCGCTTTCAAGTGGGTGCCAACTGCCAAGACTCGGCGCTGCTCACTTTTCCACGTGTGTGGGTGTGATCAGAGCGGCTCGCTGTTGGAGGGGCGTGCCACTACTCTTCCCCCTGAGATACAGCTTCTGCTGAGACAAGCATCCTGGTTTCACCATGTTAACCTTTTGGTTCTTCTGTCTCTGCCACCACCTCCAGATGTACCAGTGTCCCTACTGCAAATTCACCAACACGGACCTGAATCGCCTCAGAATGCACGTGATGACGCAGCACTCTGTTCAGCCAATGTTACGCTGCCCACTGTGCCAGGACATGCTCAATAATAAGATCCACCTGCAGTTCCACCTCACACACCTCCACAGTGTTGCACCCGACTGCGTTGACAAGCTAATAGCCACAGTAAGTCCTGAGTTATCACATATACTTTGAGTGTGACTGGACGTACAAGGACTGGAATGTCGAGAGGGTTTATGTAACCAAGTTTCATGAGTGCATTTCTCTGTGATTATTGTTTTGTTGTACTCCTCGGTGCCTTCAAACATCTAATGTGAGCGCCTCAAAGAGAACATTATTTGTTTTAATCTGCACCAAGCAGGCATTTCTTTTCACTATTTCATTATATACTAATATCTCATAATAAAATGGGGGCGGGGGGATGCAAAGATGTGCTCTAGTTTTCTGAGCCAGTATATGTAAGGAACTAATAAAACTAAAACTTTTTTAGTTTAACCAAGATGTTAGTTGGTTTAAACTAACATCTTGGTTAGTTTAAACCAAGATGTTTAAACCATAACACAAGAGTTTAGGTAAAGCAAATAATATCCTATGTTATGAAATATAATGCCTTACAACAGTATCTATGATCCTTGAACATCTTTTATGTTAAAACCATAAACTTCAGTTTAGGCTAATTGAAGTTTATGGTTGGTAGCTTTGTTGTGCCACACTATTTTGAAATCAAGTGATGGATTTAACAAAACTGTGTGAGAATTTAAAACTTTGTATGTCTTTTATATAACATTATCCTGCTTTAAGCTTTCCACACATCCATCCCTGGCCTGCCTGGCGGGTATACCTTGGTTTTCATAATGTTTTCTCTGAGACCTTCACAGAACAATTTTAGTAATATCATTATAAAGTTAGTTACTTGCAGGCGGACATCATTTACTAATGAGGTGACTTCTGAAGGCACTTGGCTGAAACTGATTTTATCTATTTATTGCATGCAATACATGGATATTTAAACATCATGCATTGCATAGAGCAGTTCTGATAAAGTATATTAAAGTTTAAGGGGTAAACAAGACTACTGTAGTTGGTCCTGCAGATCTCTTTAGTTTTCAAACTTTGGATTCATTCATTGTTAGCTATTCCTCATTTAGTTTCTCTACAACTTCAATGAATTTGGATGCTAATTCACTAGTCTCTGAAGAATGGCTTTGTTCTGGTCAAAGCAAGACCTTTTGATTATAATTGTAATATTTGTGACACCGATCAACCAATAAATAATTAGCAACTGAACAACAAATTGAGATATTATTTGCTACCTATTCAGTAGCAAATAACAGAATCACTTTCAAAGTAAGTAAAATATTACATTTGTAGTTTTTGTGATGTGTGAAATCAGTGACTCTCAATTTATAATATTTTTGCTCTTGTTTTCTCAAGACAAAACAATCTTTGCTTTATTTAAAACACATCGAGGTTGAATAATCAATCAAAACTTCCCAATTTGCTTCTAAATATCAAACAGCAAATCTTTGTTCTCTTCCATGCTCTGAGGCTAAATAACACGCTGAACAATCACACTATAAAACATTTCTCTGTCTGCTTCCCAGCCATTTTCATCCCCTATCTAGAAAGTAAATGACATGCACATTAGTATGGTAGATAGCAATATTTATTTCTTTTATAGTGCTAGTAATGTACTGAAACACTACAAGGGGAGACAGAACAGAGGTAATATAACACACATTAAAGCCTGAACCTTTTTACAGCTGGTGAATGCAGATGGAAATATACTTCATCCCTTTTGCATGTCTTCTTAGAATACCCTAATTCATTCTGAGATGGGTGACTTTTATTTCTTTCCAAGTGTGCATACTGATGCATTTACTCTCCCTTAATTCATTTGTTGTCTTTGTACTTCCACCTATTGTTTTGTTTTTTTTTTTCTCCTTGTGTGTGTGTTTCTCTTATATATAAAATACATTAACTTATTTAGTCTGCTCGCCTTCATTCCAGGACTCATTTTCTTTTTGCATTAGTTAGGGGCGATGAAAATAATTGTGCTTCATTAATTCTGAGTCTGACTGGATGATAGCCATTTTAAACTATGTTTGCCAATTAGGCAGTCTGAATTAAAAGTGACCTTGGGATCAACTCTTTCACCTAACTGTTTAATGAAGCCATTGTTTAGAAACTGGCAGGTTTCTTTTATAATTCAAATATTTGTTTGTCTTTTTTTTTCTTTTTCTTTTGATTTCATACATTAAATTTTCTAATGTTTTAGGATTTTAACATTAAATCTAAACTTTATTAAATGTATTATTGGCAGATACTGCCAATTTTACAGCATTATGACTCCAGTTAATATTAGACCTGTAGTTTATAATTATTATGTAAATAAAACAAAAAAAAAATGCTAAAGAAAACAAATGAGAACAAAACAGCCAAGATTGCTGCAGGAAGTTCATAAAGAGTTGTCACATTTAGTTTGAAGTTCCAGACATGGATCACAGAGGATTCAAGGCAAAGGGAAGTGCTAATCTCACATTTGAGTTCATACATTTAGGGTTTACATGGCATTTTATGCAGTGAGGAGGAGTAAATAAAAAGAAATGTCTGTGTATAAGCCACCTGGCTATTAAGGTATTTAACAGCTGTTTGTTGTGAAACCATACAACCAGAAATTTGTCATAGTAGTAAGTGAACACGTGACAAAAACTGCCATTCGAAACATTAAAGCTCAGGCAGAATTCACATAAACGTAAACATTTATGCTTCATTTCTGGCCTGCGTTGTTCCTCTGATGTGTCATTCATTACCCAGTTCCTCCCAACACCTATGCCAGCAGAAAAGCCTGTTTTGAATTACTAAATCGGGGTTTTTCCAACGGTGTTTGTATTACTCTGCACTACGTATACAGTCAGGTAGCTGTCAAAGTATGATTTTGAGGACAGAGGTTGTCTTGTCACTAAAACTTTATAAGTCAGTCTACAATTAGTTTCCCACAGCATGGTGTTATTTGGCCCTGAAAAACAATTTCTATCAAATGTTACACATGTGTCGGATGGATGGAAAGTTAAAACACTGATATATTACACAGAAGAAAGAAAAAAAATGCTTTAAAAGAAAGCATTTTCATACTTGGTAAATATTATGCTCTCAGACACCTGCTCCAGCCACACATTGTTTAAACATGTTTCTGTTTATAGGTTTTTTTGTGTGTTTTTTTCCGACTGCAGACCCACATCATTCATCTTTACCCATATACGTTACTCATTTTCTGTTTCCACAGAGCAGCAACTACAAATATATGTTCATTTCCTAAAAGTGTCTTTGAAATGTTTATATAGCTCTGAAAAAATAGCTAAGGTCTGATGATGTTTTCTCTTTGAATGTGATTTTACTGGGTTTGTTTTTGTATCTGACCAAATTCTAAGTACACACATCGTCACTAAGTAAGATTGTTAGCACTTTAATTCCTTTGTGTTTTGTGTCTACAGGTAACAGCCACTGAGGTTCTACCAGCAAGCATGTTCATACCAGTGCCTAGTCCAGACAAAGAGTCCCAGAGCACCCCACTTGCTACAGCCAACTCCATCTCTGAGGACACAAAAAAGCAGACTGGTTAGTATCTCAGTATTTGAAATATTACCTTTGAATTTCATAATATACATATTTTCTGTAATGCCAACCATGGGGTTTTTAAGTCATATCTTTAATTACCTTGAGAAGCATTTGGCAATTTGTAAATACGAAAAACAGTAAGTCATAAAGAGAGCGTCGGAAAATTAGGAGGCACTGCAGGTTTTTCTCACTCAGCATATTTAAGTACCTTTTTATTCTGTGGCTCTCATTCACCACACAACTGGATGAATGATTGGTATTTTAACACCTTGTAATTAATCACAAGGTTGATCTTTTTGTACACATTTCTGCCTGTGGATGCACAGTAAAAGCATTTTTCTCCGTTACTAAATTTAATTGGAAAATAACTGCAAATGGTGATGTCCTGATTAGTAGTTCTTTTGCTGATTTATTTGCAGATGCCACAGATGCTGATACAGAGAAAGGGATGTCCCTCACCACAGAAGCAGCTGAATCTCGCAAGTCACCTTCTGAGGATCAGCAGTCAGAAAAGGAAGATGCCACTGGTTTTCTGTGCTGGAAGAAAGGCTGCAGCCAAGTGTTTAAATCCTCCAACTCTCTGCAAATGCACTTCAACGAAGTTCACAACAAGAGGCCCCAGTTACCGGTTTCTGATCGCCATGTCTATAAGTATAGATGTAACCAGTGCAGTTTGGCCTTCAAGACTGTGGAGAAACTGCAGCTTCATTCACAGTACCATGTGATCAGAGCAGCTACCATGTGCTGCCTTTGTCAGCGGAGCTTCAGAACTCTACAAGCCTTGAAGAAGCACTTAGAAACCAGCCATTTGGAGCTGAGTGAAGCTGATATCCAGCAACTTTATGGAGGATTATTGATGAACGGAGACATTATGGCAATGGGGGATCTGGCTCTCAATGAGGAGCATGGAAGCTTGGGAGAAGACGACAAAGAGGGAGACGACAGTGACCCTGAGGAAAAACAAAGCCCAACAGGCAGCGATTCTGGCTCACTACAGGAAGATTCTGGATCCGAACCCAAACGAGCACTACCGTTCAGAAAGGGCCCCAACTTTACAATGGAGAAGTTTTTGGACCCGTCTCGTCCATTCAAGTGTACTGTATGCAAAGAGTCTTTTACACAGAAGAACATTCTGTTAGTTCATTATAACTCTGTCTCCCACCTACACAAGGTGAAAAGAGCTCTTCAGGAATCCACTACTGGTCAACCAGAGCCTACCAGCAGTCCTGATAATAAGCCATTTAAGTGCAGCACTTGCAATGTGGCATATAGCCAGAGTTCAACTCTGGAAATCCACATGCGCTCTGTTCTCCACCAGACCAAAGCTAGGGCAGCCAAACTTGAAGCAGCTGGAGGGATCACCAGTTCTGCAAGTACAATTAGCGGAGGGTCCAGCATGAGCACATCAACAACTAGTCCAAGCCCAGCTAATAACTCTACTCCCAGCTCAGCAAATCACAGTTCTTCTGGATCTCAGGCAGCTCAAAGTATTCATGGAGGAAATCACATGAATCAGACTCATGGCATTGAAAGTTTGGGAAATTCTTCAGCAAGCTGTCATTCTTCATCATCTGAGAACCATGAAGTAAAAAAGTCTAAATTTAGCGAGATTCTCTCTGCAAGAGGGCAACAGCAGCAGCTTCAGCAACAACAGCAACTGGCTCAAGCACAAGCTCAGGCCCAAGCCCAGCTTCAGCAGGAGCTTCAGCAGCAGGCTGCTCTTTTACAATCACAGCTATTCAATCCAGCACTTCTGCAGCACTTCCCAGTGACAACTGATGCACTTCTGCCGCTGCAGCAGCAGCAATTGCTGTTCCCTTTCTACATCCCTGGAGCAGAATTTCAACTCAACCCAGATATCAACATCAGCAACTCTGTTCTCGGCCTAGCAGGATCTGCAGCTTCTACCCTGCAAGAAGATTTAAAAAACTCAGCCCAGCAGGCCCAGCAGAGTTGCTTGCAGCAGCAATTAATGCATCATCACCTACAACAGCAGCACCAACAGCAGCAGCATCAACAGCAACAGCATCAACAGCAGCAGCAGCAGCAGCAGCAAGCTCACTCGCAGGTTCAAGGGCAGATGGCTTTGCTGCAGCAGAGTGCATCTCTTCTCCAGCAGGCTGAAAAAAAGCAGAAACATTCCTCCTCAAAAGATGAGAAAGATAAAGAAATACAAAAAGAGAAAGATGTAACTGAGAAAAGTGAGGACAATATAAACAAAGATTCCACCGAAAGCAAACCAAAAGAAAAAAAGGACATTCAGAACATTTCACTAAACATTAACCAAGATTCTGGCATGCTTCCACCTAGGATTGCTTCAGATGCTCGAGGAAATGCAACTAAAGCCTTGCTGGAAAACTTTGGATTTGAATTAGTTATTCAGTACAACGAAAATAAACAGAAAGCTCAGAAAAAGACAAGTGGACCTACAGGATCAGGTGGTTCAGGTGGAATAATGAAGGTTGTAGATCCCATTGAGGGATTAGAGAAACTGGAATGTGAAGCCTGTGGCAAGCTGTTTTCAAACATACTGATTCTAAAGAGTCACCAGGAGCATATCCACCAGGCTTTTTTCCCTTTTCGATCCTTGGAGAGATTTGCTAAGGAATACAGAGAGCATTATGATAAACTCTATCCACTAAGACCTCCAACACCAGAAGCTAGTCCTGCTCCTGCCCCACCTCCTCCTCCACCGCCACCTCCTCCACCACTCCAAAGAGCTCCAACACCAAATATTCCAGTCTCTGCAGCCTCGCTCACTCCTCCTACCGTACCCCCTCCACAGCCCCCAGTTCCAATGACACAAATACCCATGCCAATGGATTTACCCTTGTTCTCTCCACTCATGATGCAGCCCATGTCTTTGCAGTCCCTGCCCACTCAGTTGCCTCCTCAGTTACCTTCTGTCGAGCCAAGCTTGGCATCAGACTTGGCCCAACTCTATCAACAACAGCTTACACCTGCCATGTTACAGCAACAGAACAAGAGGCCACGGACTCGCATCACTGATGACCAGCTTAGGGTCCTGCGACAGTACTTTGATATAAATAACTCTCCAAACGAAGAACAAATTAAAGAAATGGCAGATAAGTCTGGCCTGCCACAAAAAGTGATAAAGCACTGGTTCAGAAACACGCTCTTTAAAGAACGTCAGCGCAACAAGGACTCTCCTTACAATTTCAATAATCCTCCAACAACAACTCTAGAAGAAACAAAAATTGATTCCAAACCTCCTTCCCCTGAACCTCAGAAACATGAACTCTATGGAAGTAAGAGATCATCTAGGACCCGGTTTACTGACTACCAGCTGAGAGTCCTACAAGACTTCTTTGATGCAAATGCTTATCCGAAAGATGATGAATTTGAACAGCTCTCCAACCTTTTGAGCCTCCCCACCCGAGTTATTGTTGTGTGGTTCCAAAATGCTCGACAGAAGGCAAGAAAGAATTATGAAAACCAGGGTGATGGAGCCAAAGATGGAGAAAGGCGAGAACTGTCAAATGACCGATATATCCGTACATCAAATCTAAACTACCAGTGCAAGAAATGCAGTCTGGTTTTCCAGCGTATCTTTGACCTGATAAAACACCAAAAGAAGCTGTGTTACAAAGATGAAGATGAGGATGGGCAGTATGACAGCCAAAATGAGGATTCGTTGGATTTTTCCCATGACAGCTATACTCCCTCTGGGTCGTCCTGTCACACACCAATGCCCTCCTCTTCAAGTCTTTGCCCTCTTCCTCCATCAACGTCAGCGTTTTCACAACTCTCATCGGCTGAGAAAGAGGAAGCATCACCAGCAACCACCTCAAACCCCTATGATGAAAACCCCAAACAGCTGCCAGAAATTTCTAGTGATCCACGAGATACTCAAACTTCTATAAAGCAGGAAATCATACTCCAAAACCAGTCTGAGCCCCAACACACTAGATCTCAGAGAGAGGAAAAGATGCACGTCTCTAAGGCTGTCAAGCATTCGTCACTGTCTCAGCAACAGCAGCAGTGTGGCCCATCATCTTCTCAGACAACCCAGGCATCCTCACAAAGCTCCCACTTGGGCCTCAATCCACACCTGTCCTCTGCCACACAGCAGCTGGCACAGCAGATGATTCCATACCAGTGTGAGCAGTGCAAGATTGGCTTTCCATCCTTTGAGCACTGGCAAGAACACCAGCAACTGCACTTTCTCTCTGTGCAAAATCAGTTCATCCATCCTCAATTCCTTGATCGTCCAATTGACATGCCCTTTATGCTGTTTGATCCCAGCAATCCTCTGCTGGCGACCCAGCTTCTTTCTGGTGCAATGCCTCAGATACCCAGCAGTTCTGCCACCTCTCCGTCCACTCCAACCTCCACCATGAACTCCCTGAAAAGAAAGCTCGAAGAAAAGGCTAGTACTAGCCCTGGAGAGAATGACAGTGCAAATAGTGGAGAGGAACCACAGAGAGACAAGCGGCTCAGAACCACCATTACACCTGAGCAACTAGAGATCCTCTATCAGAAGTATTTATTAGACTCAAACCCCACTCGTAAAATGCTTGATCACATTGCTCATGAGGTGGGATTAAAAAAGAGAGTCGTGCAAGTGTGGTTCCAAAATACTAGAGCAAGAGAGCGAAAAGGCCAGTTCAGGGCTGTAGGGCCAGCCCAAGCTCATCGTAGGTGCCCGTTTTGCCGAGCTCTATTCAAGGCAAAAACGGCCCTTGAGGCACACATTAGATCTCGTCACTGGCATGAAGCCAAACGTGCTGGATACAATTTGACTCTCACTGGTTTGTTACCTGAGCAGGAGAGCATGCAAATTAAAATGGATGTTTTGGATACATCAGGCTACTCCCAACTGGCCTCAACAGTGAACAGTGATGGACAAAGCTCCTCTATGTCTCCAGTAAATAAAAGCATGGATCTGTCTCCCAGGGGTCTGCTGAGCCCTTCATCCATCAAAGTTGAAGGAATGGAAGACTTCGAGGGTGCAACAATGTCCTCTGTGAACCTCAGCTTTGATCCAAACAAACTGGATAATGACGACTGTTCATCTGTGAACACGGCAATCACAGACACAACTACAGGGGATGAGGCCAATGCAGATAATGACAGCGCTGATGCAAAGCCCAGCCAAAATAGTGGTGATTACCTACACAAGTCTGGAGGTACATCCACTATGCTTGAAAATGATGACCAAATGTCATCAGGGTTAGTGAGCCCTGCAACAAGCTTTTATGCTAAGGACTATGAAAATGAAAATATGATTGACCACAGTGAGACATCCAGCCTGGCTGACCCCTGCTCACCAAGCCCTGGAGCCTCAGGTACCAGGAGCATTGACAGTGGAGACAGACCAGGCCAAAAGCGCTTCCGGACCCAAATGACGAACCTCCAGCTGAAAGTGTTGAAGTCTTGCTTTAATGACTACAGAACACCCACTATGCTGGAGTGTGAGGTACTTGGCAATGAAATTGGACTTCCAAAGAGAGTGGTTCAAGTGTGGTTTCAAAATGCTCGTGCCAAGGAGAAAAAGGCGAAACTGAACATGGCTAAGCACTTTGGAATAAACCAGACATCTTACGAGGGGCCAAAGACTGAATGCACATTGTGTGCCGTAAAGTACAGTGCTCGCCTTTCTGTTCGTGATCATATATTCTCTCAACAACACATATCCAAGGTGAAAGATACCATTGGGAGTCAGATTGATAAAGAAAAAGAATATTTTGACCCAGCTACTGTTCGCCAGCTCATGGCCCAGCAAGAGATGGATCGCATTAAGAAGGCCAATGAAGTTTTGGGTCTGGCACAACAGCAGGCCATGCAGCAGCAGGGGATGTTTGATAACCCTGCTATGCAGGCTCTGAATCTCCAGTCAGCCTACCCAAATCTCCAAGGCATCCCACCTGTACTTTTGCCAGGGGTTGGTAGCCCTTCTCTATCCAGCTTTAACTCATCTAATTCAGGTACGTCATTGTTTCAAACTGACTGAATACCAGAATTTGCATGCTATACAAAGAAACTTGAAACTAATAATAGACATCAATATTACATTCATCTTGCCCTTCTATCAGTTGCATGAATTTGCACACTGTACATAGTGTAGTATTTTATATATTGTTCTTTTACTATTCTTGATATGCTGCAGAGGTTTACGCTCTTGTTACAAGGAATTAGCTAACTTGACTGACTTTCCTTTATAAAAATTAAATGACCCATTGCCATTCATATATCAGCAATCTTCTTTATTCTTCTGTGTGTACTGAACAAAATGCCTTGTTTTTTTCTCTTTGCAACTGTTAATGCTACTTTTTTGTGGGTTTAACACTCCTTGTTTTTTCTGACAAACTTTCAGCTTTAACTCCTCCAAAACCCTCGAACCTCCTGAATATGACGGGTGCCAGTGTTCCCTCACCAAGCCTGCCCACTTCTGGATTGCCTAATAAACCTCCCTCTTCAGCATCTCTTGCAGCATCGAGCCCTGCCCAGACCAACACATCTGCTTCTCACTCAAGCCCTACGCCCACATCGAGCTCCACTTCCTCCACTACCCCATCAGGCTTACGACCCGGATCCCACAAGGAACGTGATGTTGAAAGTTTAAGAGAGAAGGAGAAGGATAAACCCAAGGAAAAGGCAGAAAAACCCTCAACTCCATCGTCAACTGGAAGCACCCCAGCCCCTTCCACTTCTGCTGCAAGTGCCAAGAAGGAGAAACCAGACACAGCTGTTCCTGCCACCTCCATGCCAACACCTGGTATGGAGTATGTAGTAGATCCTGCCCAGCTTCAAGCTCTGCAGGCCGCTTTAGCATCAGACCCCACAGCTCTCCTTACAAACCAGTTTTTACCTTACTTCATGCCAGGCTTTTCCCCTTATTACACCCCACAGATCCCTGGTGCTCTCCAGGGGGGCTATCTGCAACCAATGTATGGTATGGAAAGTCTTTTCCCATATAACCCAGCATTGTCCCAAGCACTCATGGGTCTTTCCCCAGGTTCACTATTGCAGCATTACCAGCAATATCAGCAGAGCTTACAGGAGGCACTACAGCAGCAGCAGCGGCAGCTTCAACAGATCCAGCAACCCAAGGCAAGCCAAACTGCAGCTCCTACTCAAAACTTAGGGGATCGCAAAGAGGCTGCCAAAGATTCAGTCAAAACAGAGGAGCAAAAGAGCAACCCCCACAGTGAAACCCCCATATCCTCCTCCTCACATAACAAAGTATCTTCTGAGCAGAACGAAATACATGACAAAGCTATGGACCTTCATCTAGACCAGTACATTGTCCCCAAGGCGCAGAGTAAACTTGCCTGTCGCAAGTGTCAAGCTGTTTTCACCAAGGAAGAAGCGGCTATTACCCACATTAAATCTAACTGTTTCTTTGGTCAATCTGTGGCAAATCTGCAAGAGGTGTTGCTGCGTGTCCCCGGTGGCGTAGGTGTAGGGGGCGGAAGTCTCTATGACTGCTTGGCTTGTGACACTACGTTGGATGGAGAGAAAGCACTCAGTCAACACCTGGAATCGGCATTGCACAAACACAGAACAATCAAGCGATCAGTCAGAAATGCCAAAGAGCACGCTACTAGTTTATTACCTCACTCTTCAGCCTGCTTCCCCAGTCCTAACACCGCATCTACCTCGCAGTCTGCCACTCATCCCATCAGCAGCCCATCTCCCTTGCCAACAACATCAGCCACCATGCCATCCTCTGCTGTCTCCACTTCCCTGTGCTCTTCCTCTAAGGCCCAACTCAATACCACAGCTGTCGGCAAACCCTGGCCCCAGGTCCCCTTCTCCAGAGCTTCAGCTGGAAAGCCCAGTGCTAGTCCCTCCTCCTCTTTTCCTCCAGTGTCCTCACCCTCAACGGTTACCTCAAGTTCATTGAGCACCTCAGGAGTTCAGACCTCGATACCAACAGACGTCTTTACCGACGAGTCTGACTCTGACAGCAGTCAGAAGTCAGCAGATAGGCAGGGCAGGGCAACAGAGGAGCCGCAGCAGCCTACCTATGTCAAAGACAGTAATAGTTGTAGTAGTAACCTGGCTAGTGTAGGAACAGACTCCATCAGATTGTAAAAGAGCTTTCAGTGATGGACAATATTTAAAAAAAAATACAAAGAAAATGACAAAAAAACACAAAAAATCATAAAAAGCAGCAATGTTAAAAATACATTAAAAGTATACAAACCAGTTTCAGAAAAAGATGTGTAAAGACTAACTGCAATTCCAAAGCTTTTAACCAAAAATTAAATGTTAGTGGATTGTTTTCCCATATCAACATGCTGGTTTTTATTTTTTTTTATTTTTATTTTTTTTCATTTTTTTTATGTTTAACCCAACTGAAATCCAGGCATACTAAGGTGTGAGGACAAGAAAGATCAAAGATCATAGCAGTTATATTTTATGTAATAGTGGAAAAATGCTGTACTGTATGGCAATGGACAAGAACATAAGTTGGCAAATAATGACCCAATAGCCCTTTTTTTTAAAGAATGCAAGTAAGTAACCCAATACTTTCTACTTAAGAGCACAGTCACTAAAAGCCAGTATGTACTGTATGGGAGAATAGTCTGTTCAGTTCAGTTTTCTTGCTACTTAAGCATTCAGATACCAATGGCTTGCAAAAGTAAAAGAATAATGTAATGTCTATTTTATTCTCAGGTCAACAACTCAAAGATGTTTTTTTTCTGTTACAGAGACTCACGTTTTACTTTTTTTATTTTCCAATGAGATGATTTTTTTTTCTTCCTTAACTTGATTTAACAACAAGATTTTATGTTAAATTTAATTTAACAAGGCATTTCTTCTGGGCATTTTAAAGAATTATTGATTAATATTGCTAATTTTAAAATCCTCATAAAGTGAGGAATTCCCATTATATCCAGATAAGCATTGCAGACATAGTAAGGGGCAATTTGAAAAGACTTTTGATAAAAAAATAATAATAATAAAACTTTCTGTATTTATGATAGATATGAGCATTTTTGGTGTTGAGTAGATTGTTGCATTGGAAATGAATTTCAACAGTATGGTAGGTTGGGGAAAAAACTTTGTGTACATTTAACTTTTGTATTGTCTAATTTTAAGACACTTCATTTGATGTTGACTTGGTCATTCCAATAGTCTAGGTTAATGAGAGGTAATTTATCTAAACATTGTTTCTGTCTTACCAAACTCTTGTGAAACATTCTCCCAAATGCCCCTGTTGACAAGGCAGGATCCTCTTTAGGATCAAAATTTATTTAATTTTGTGATGTGGTTGGTATTGTTCAAACCAAATGATCCTGGGTGAAATACTGAGAGATTTATTTTTAATTTAATTTTTGTGTTAACTTTGTGCACTTGTCAGACTCCTAATTGTCATTCTTCTTGTTTCTTTCTTCGCACTTATTTTCCCTTCTGCCCTGTGTTTGTAGTCTTATATACTACAAAGCAGGTATGTTGTTCTTCATGTTGAGTGGCTACATTGTTTTTTGTTTTTGTTCTGTCAGTTTTGTTTTCATAAATGAAAAAAAGATTACTACTAATAATTCTCACGCTTTAAGACTAAAGAAAATCCAAAGACTAAACACTTTCACCATTGGTGCATAAAGATGAGAAAAGAGGCTTCTTTATACTTGAGAATTTGTTGCTGTTTTTTGAGGAAAGAACACAAAGTTTTAAAAGTTAGAGGAGTACGTATCCAAGTTGCCATTTCTGCTTGTTCGCAAGCAAGCGGGTAGCTTTTTTACGTAAATAACCAAAAACCAAAAAGGGCCCTTGTCCTTGCATTGTGGAGTAGCACCGTTACAGAGCCATTGCAGTTTGTAAGATAGAGGTTATTGATTTTTGTTTGACTTTTGTCACATTTAAATGTCCATTTTTTTTTTTTTTTAAAGAAAATGTATAAGGTCTGGTCTTCAAGGACATACGTTTTGCTGCTAATGTAGATTTTTGAAAAAACAAAAATGAAAAAAATTAATACCTAGATGCATGCTCATTTTGCTTTTGGCTAAGCTTTAACTAAAACAAACAATAAACCAATTTCTTGCCTCTGCAACACTTTTTTTTTTCTTGTTGCAAAAACGGAACTTTGAAGACTGTGAATATTTGTTCCAAAGGACATTTTGCAGAGTTTCTTTTTGAACAGACCAATGTTTAAAGCCAATGATCTATAACGTTTGTAAAGAACAGTGCATTCCAAATATCACTATGGATTTTTCTTAAGCAAGGACTGATCAATCTGATTTCATTTGATTGTTTTTATTTTCACAATCTATTTTCTCTCATTTTTTTTAAAATGACTGTAAACTGTTGTGTATATTTTTTGCATAGTTGGTTGCTGAAACACAGTGACCTCTGTATGTCATTTTGTGCTGGCATGGAACATGGCTGAAAATCCCTCCATCCAATCAAGGTTGTTGCTTACTTGTTAAGCAAGTTACAGTGGTTACCAAAAAATGTATATAATACATCTGGTACTGATGTGTCTCATGTTTTGATTTTTCTTTTCTACATTATTGCCATTCAACCTCCCCCTAGTCTCAGAGGGAATCAATGGCTTTTTGCTGAGGTCTTGTCACCCTTTCCCATGAGGTCTAATAGTGACTTGTTTCATGTTTGTGCAGGGTACCACTTCCACTCTTAGATCACAGGTTTTTAGGGGCATCTTGAGTCCAAAACATTATTTCTGCTGAAGAGTTGGAAGTTTATTTCATTTTATTGAAGATGTCCCTTGCTTTCAAACACTTCGGATGCTCTCATGTCCAAAGAAGTCATCTAATTAATTTTGCTGGAAAGGAAATGGTTGTGTATAGGTGCCCGCATCTTCTCATTTTAATGATGTGAAACACAAGATTTTCTAAACCAAAACCAAGGTGTCTTTAAATTTTTTGAGTAGAAAAAAAACAACAACTTTTGGTCAATATTAACCCTAATGAATACAAGGCACAATCTCTAAAGTGTTTTTTTAAAAAAAGTGCTACTTCTGGCAGAAAAATGTGACTTGGTGTTAATACCTTGCTGTGCTGTTTATGTCAGTAGCTCTAGTCTTCAAGCTTGAAAATTCTCAAATCCAGTTCCTTGGAAATACTGTTAATGTGTACCTTAAGTTATCCAGTTTTCTGTCTCAACTATGTTTTGTTTTCATATTTTATTTTTAAAGATTTTTAAATATATATTATTTTCTTTTGTTTGCAATTTGCTTTCGTTTCTGTATATTACTTTTAATCATAAATTAACACTAGCTTTAATTTGAATTGCTGAAATTGAGAAAAACAGACTAAAATGACCTGGCCACTTTATGGTGTGACAATGTTCTTTATATTCACTGTTTCAATGTTATTGTTTGTTCTCTGTTTACTCAAAGTGTAATCATGTGGGCTCTCTTGTGGACCACAAAGTTGAGGTCTGATGCCAGTATGGGTGTGTTTTGTGTGCCTGTGTGTATCTGTGTGTATTTCAAAAGAGCCAGCATCAATTCAACTTTTTTTTTATTTTTTCTTGTTTGCCTTTTTATTTATTTTTTTTTCATGTGTTACACACCAAATAAACAGAACCACAAAGCTGGATTGTGATAAAATTCTAAACAAATCAAACAGAAACATTATAGCTCTTAACGAGAACGATGAAACCGAAGCACTGAGCAGTTTTTAACATTGATTGAATATGTTAATGTGGCCAAAGCTTTTATGCAGTTGTGACAAAAAAAAAAAGCGACAATTTCTGCCCCGTACGAGTGCATATTTTATAGTGGCTACGATAAAATATATGCGAGTTACACATTGGGATACATTCAATGGACACTTACAAGAGAAAGACAAAGACAAGATTTTGCTGTAGAGGTCATTTTTTTGCCCACTGTGAAACATGTACCTGTATACAGATATAGATATATTTAAAGACATTTTGTTTTTCTCTTTTTTTTTTTTTTTTTTTTTTTTTTCTATGAGATGAAGAAAGAATGAAAATGAATAAAACGGACTCTGGGAAGCTTTGGAGACCTCGTTAGGAGGACACGAGAGGCTGCGGGCACACCAAAACTGGGCACGGGAGCCAAAGGCAGGCTCGAAACAGCTTTAAAAACCACCTCTTTATTTGATTACTGACATCTCTGTAATGGAAATGGACTCTGGAACCAATGGACTTGTGTGACACAGAGGGAAGTCTTTAAATGAAACTGAACTTTAAGTGGCTCCAGCTGCCTCTAACCTCCCCCGTCCCCTCCCTCCATCTGTCCTTTCTTTCTCTAGCTCTGCCTCAGCTTCTGCTCTTTGATGGACATTTTTCAGATTTCAGGACAAAATGGACAGAGATGCTTGCTTCATTTCTTCCTCTTCATGTTGCTACCCGTTTAATTTTCTTGTGCTTGTCTCTGGCTGACAAGTACAGCTCTCCAGTCAAACGGCGACTCATCCCTCTCTGTGTTGGTTACATAATCTAAATAGGGAAATTATTAACATAGAGAGGGGACGAGTTCTCGGAGCTGTCTTTCTTAGAGGCAGACACTAAAAAAAGCATAATAACCAAAATTACCAACCAAACTAACAACCAAACAACCATTTGCTCCAGCTTCAAAGATGAACTGTTACCTGGAGCGCTCTGTTCTTTTTGTGACTTCTGGTGCCACAATGTTTTTTTATGCTTTTAGTTTTTCTTTCCTTTAATTACTCCTCCTTTGAGCCTCATAAGCATGGCTCTGTGGCTCCAGGAAGCCCATCTGAGGGTAGAAAAAAACAGCCTTGCAATGTACAAAAAAGAGCAAGTTAAACCAAAAATGTTGTTCTTGATGTCTTTTCTATACTGTAGTCTTGTTAGTTTTTTTTTTTTTTTTTTTTTTTTTTTTTTTGTTACTGTAATTATATGAAGATTTCCAGACTGTACCAAATTACATGGAAACTAACATACATACAACCACATGGAACTTCAGACTTTTAAAGAAACTTTTGTCACAAAACCTTGTTGTCCTAGTTAAGTTGATTGTAGATGGTAATTGAATATACTCCTTTGAAAATATTTCATCAAGTATGTTTCTTGCTCATTGTGATACATTAAAAAAGTATGAGCATAAACTGCACTGTTTGGACTCATTTTTGAGTGTCGCGAGAGTGGAACCCTTCCAGTGAGGTATGCATGTTTTGACTTTTCAATCCATCAGATGTTTGGCCCAAGGCCCATTTAAGGCCTGAGAATGATTTTGTACTGCTGCAATTCAAAAACTGTACAGGTCTGACCCTGTATCTGGCTAATACAGATACAGTTTTTAAAAAACATACTGAGAAATTTAACTTATTCAAATGTAAAATCTCTATCAGAAATTTTAAAGCGGTCAACCCAATGTACTTAGGATATTGTATGCCTTTCTTCTGATCGGCAAACAAAAGGGAAGGCAGCATAATTCAGATTTATAATGATTTACTCATCCTATTATCCAAAACTCTGTGACTGCTGTGTTTCACAAAAATATTTGCATTTATTCATTTTAATCAACGTGTGCTCATGTAAACGAACAGTATGGGGTCTCGCAGAGCATCAGCGTATATTTAAATCATTTAATCCTGTCCTTTATGACTACAAATCTAACCCGAATGGCCTGAGAATGATTGCTGGTCTTTGTCGTTTATTATATGAAGACAGAATGAA